TATTATCCCCCTGCAGTGATTGGGAGTTTTGCCTTTGATTTCAGAGGGAACAAGATCAGCTCTTTGTGGTCTTAACAAACATAGGGCAGCTATCTATCTCAATGCAGTAGGCATGTGCCTGGGAACATTGTATTCTAGAAGTGCCTAAAAGTTGAAGGTAGGTTAAAAGTTTTGTTTTTACAGAAAACATAAAGGTCAGCTCTAGGTGGGGCACTGAAGATGCTGTGCTTAGGAGCTCAGAAATATGGCCCTGGATAAATCTAGTAGTATAGGGATTTTAAATGGCATTCCAGTGCAAACATATTTATGCTTTGCAGTGCCCGAGAAACCTTATGGAAACATCCTTAGGAAATTAATGTAGAAGCATAACCTTTATATAAAATGTTTAATCCAACCAATGGAATATTTATATACCTAAATGTTGGTTTAAAAGTTCAGTAGCAGGGATATCATTCTCAAATTCTGTAGCACTTTTATGCTAATTTCCATAAAGCCCCTCCCTATCAGTTACTTTTATAGAGCTCTTCCATAAGGGAAGATGCTTGCACTCCTGTTGGCTCCATTAAAGTAACATTTGAGACAGTAAAAATAGATACAGCAGATGTAACTCTTCGTCTGTACCCACTGAGTAAGTTTCAGCATTATGGACATATGGAGAAAATGGGAGTCTTTATGTGTAACTTCCATGAGCTTTGGGTTAGTTCTGTATTGCCTTGGTTTATGAGGGGAGGGGAAAGGTAACTCTATAAAATAATAATAGAAATGTAGCCATGTTAGTCTAGTCTAGCTGAAACAAAAAACAGAACTATGTAGCACTTTAAAGACTAACAAGATGGTTTATTAGGTGATGAGCTTTCGTGGGCCAGACCCACTTCCTCAGATCAAATTGTGGAAGAAAATTGTCATGACCATATATACCAAAGGGATACAATAAAAAAGTGAACACATATGAAAAGGACAAATCAAATTTCAGAAGAGAGGGAGGATGAGGGAGGGAGGTAAATGTCTGTGAGCTAATGATATTAGAGGTGATAATTGGGGAAGCTATCTTTGAAATGGGTAAGATAATTAGCATCTTTGACCTCGGCATAAAGTGTCAAATTTAAGCATGAATGACAGTTCAGAGGATTCTCTTTCAAGTCTGGTGTTACAATGTCTTTGAAGCAGGATGCAGGTAATCAAGTCATTGAGACAATGCCCTTTCTGGTTGAAATGGCAAGAAACTGTTTTTTCTTTGTGATCCTGTCTAATATCTGTTTTGTGGGCATTGATTCTTTGGCGAAGTGTCTGAGACGTTTGTCCAATGTACATAGCAGATGGACACTGTCAGCACATGATAGCATAAATTATATGTCTGGATGAGCAGGAATATGTGTTCTTGATCTTTTAACTGAATTGGTTAGGTCCAATAATGGTATCAGCAGAGTGAATATGTGGACAAAGCTGGCAACAGGGTTTGTTGCAAGGGAAAGTTCCAGGGTTGGTATTAGTGTGGTATGTCCTGTGGTTGTTGATTAGAATCATCTTGAGGTTAGGTGGTTGTCTATAGGAGAATATGGGTCTATCTTCCCAGAGCCTCTCGGAGTTTAGTATCCTGTGGGTCTGGCCCACGAAAGCTCATCACCTAATAAACCATCTTGTTAGTCTTTAAAGTGCTACATAGTTCTGTTTTTCTATAAAATAAGATACATATCTCAATTTGTGTTCAGACCCTACAGGTAAATTTATTGTTCAGGATGCTTCCTTTCATAATTAAATTGCACTTGCTAGTTTTATTGTCATTCTCAGAGATAAATCCTTGATCTGTGAGCTTTCATGTGCTGTCTATCACTGTTGCCCACCTTTTTATTACAGGTAGGGGATTATTTTTTACTGTATTTCTGGGGATTTTGACAGATCCTTAGCTCGTGTAGGTCTGTGCCTTCTAATTTATACTTTTGACTGAAGGAACCGTATACTTAATAGGCTTGTTACATACTGACAGCTTTATTATGATCTCTTCTTCTTGTGTGCACACATATCCCAGAATTTGCTGTGTATATATATAATTGCTGCTTCATTTTCTTCTTTAGGAGATCTATTCTCAAGCAGGATGCTTAACTCTCAATACTATTAATGATATTTATGTGGAATCTTATACAACATCAATTAGAAATATTCAGAACCTACTGTGTTCAGATATAACAACAAAACCAGAAAACCCTTTATAGAATCATTCTCCATTCCAGATGGTGTCATCCTTGAAAATAACCATGTAATCACTTTTTGGTTTAGGATTTTTTTAAAAAGAATTTAAATGCAGGAAACATCTGTGCCAGTGCAAGTGGTAGAATTGTCTATTGAAATAAGAGGAGCTTTGAATACCAGAACTAGATTAGAAAACTAAAGCAGTACACAAAAGCATAAAATGTAATGGTAGCATTTAACATTTGTGCTGCAACACCATAAAATCTAATAAGCATCATGTTCAGTAGACAAAACTGCCTTACTTTACTACAAGATGGGCAGATGTAGGATTCACTCTAGGTACATCCTGCACATAGCAGCCCTCGAATTGCCTCAGTGCTTTGTGCCACTTTTGCTCGCACCTCACACTGGGATTTGCCAGTATCCAACTCTGGATCTAAGTTCATTGGAGAGTCAAGTAATTGCCATGACAATCTCCATTGTTTACATTTTAGTCAGTTGATACACACACATTATTCATTGTAGTACTGCTTGTAAAACTCAATTTAACAGGTGTGCTAGCTAGCAAGGGAGAAATATTTAGCTAAACCATGAAGAAATGTGCTATCTTCCTGTTTCAAAGCAGTGAAAATAGCCCAACTTGCTTTTCACCCTATACCATTTTCCCACCATTAAATTGTATATATAAAGACTAGAATGAAAACTGGAACGCACTTTGAACTCAGCAGCTCTCTGCATTAAATTATTTTCATATTAAAATATATTTTTCTTCATCAATTGTCACTTGTTTCTGTTATATTTATGAAATGAAGATGCCCGCAGTTTATTATTTCATTTAAAGTGCCTAGTTTATTATTTAACTTTTCTTTTACCTTTTTAAACCATAGTGTCTGGGGGACTATTCGCAAGTCCTTGCAGGAGGAATAATGGTAGTTCGAATTAGGAGCTTTAATTCGAACTACCTATTCCATGCCGCATGTAGCTGCGGGCAGGTAGTGCGAACTACGGGGCATTTAAAAATGGTGGCGCCTGGTAACATGCAAATAAAGTCCGGGTTATTTAAATCCTGGGCTTCATTTGCAAGTTCGAATGCCTACATTAGCCACCCTAGTTCGAACTAGGGTGGAAATGTAGACATACCCAGGGTAGTTTAGTCACTAAAGCTTCTGACAAGTATAAAAAGTTGTTGTTTGAATCCTGTTGGAAATGTATTGACAGTCTTTAACTTATATTCTCTCGGGTATATCGACACTATGAGATAAGCTTGTATCTAATATGGTTGATTTCTGGGCACCCGATTTTGTGAAGTTGAAGGTCAGTGTTCTCACTGCAGGAAAGAATCAAATGTAGTCTGAAGTAGTGCATACCCATTAGGGAGCCTACCAATGACTCAGAGAGCAATTCACTATGGGCAGCTTTACATTTTGGGCTATGCTCATGGTGCTTGCTGGAACCAAAACTCTGCAATGGGTGGCCAGAGGCTCATGTCACCAGTGTCCCACAATGCACTTGTCTAGTCCTTCTCCCCTTCTGTGAGATAAAGGGGAGGCAATGTGCTTGTGCCTTGTGGTACCCTGGTTGTCCGCACAGATGCTATAGCACCATGAGCATGAAGCCTGGTTTGCAGCAATCCATTGTGATGATGATGTGTGTTGTGTTGTGCCTAATGGTGCCGGACTTCAAGAATGTACTCATGTCACTCCACCAGGAAGAGGACGAGGATGAAGCTTGGTATGGCATGGAGTTGCTGCTTATGCAAGGCCTGGCGTTGATGCTAGTGCAGTCACCAGTCAATGCCGGTTCTGGTGCCATGAGACAAGCTCAGACTTGTGGGACTGCACAGTGCTGCAGGTTTTGGACAATTATCAGTGGCTGCAGAACTTCTGGAACAAAGCCATTTTCTTAGAACTTGCGAATAGCTTGCCCCTGAATTGAGGCACCATAATACCTGAATGAGACCTGCTATGAGCATGGAGAAGCACATGGCAGTTGCCCTAAGGAAGCTTGCCATGCGAGACATCTATCATTCAGTGGGAAATCAGTTCGGAGTACTGAAATCTACAGTAGGGGCTGTTCTCATATAAGTAGCCAAGGCCATCAAATGTTCTGCTACGTAGGGTCATGACTCTGGGGAAAATGGACAACATCGTGGAGGGCTTTGCTGTGATGGGGTTCCCTAACTGCGGTGGGGCCATAGATGGAATACCCATCCCCATCTTGACCTCCAACCACCTTGCCATGGAGTACATCAACTGCAAGGGATACTTCTCCATGGTGCTGCAGGCACTGATGGATCACAAGGGCCATTTCGCTGACATCGACGTGGTTTGATTGGGAAAAGTACATGAAAAAAGTGGTATGATTGGCAAAAGTGCTGTACGGGGAAGCCTAGTTCAAACTAGGAAGCCTAGTTCAAACTACCTAGTTCGTGCCACGTGTAGCCGCGCGGCACAGGGTTCGAACGAGCGGGGATTTAAAAATGGCGGCGCCCCGCTTATGCAAATGAAGCCTGGGAAATTCAAATCCCGGGCTTCATTTGCAATTGCGGTATGCCTACATTACCCCGCTAGTTCAAACTAGCACAAGGAACACTTGTGAAACTGCCTTCTGCCTCCCAAGGTCCTGGAGGGTATGGCTGCCCTTGAGTCCCTCTTCCCCTGTGTCCTGGGAGTGATAGCAACGGGGTTGGGGGAGGAAAGACCAGGGTTATCATTGGGGAGCACAAGGTCCTGGAAGGAGGCCCTTTCCAGACAGGAAGCTAGGGGCTCTATCACAGTGCTCAGGGAGGCAAACATAGTCTCATGCTGCCTTGCCTGCTGCTCCCTGGCAGCTCTTCTCTCCTGGAATTCCATGATCCGGTCCAGGTGCTCTGCCTGCATCTCTTCTATGAGGGAGTTCATGCAGATATCCTGAACATATCCTCCCTTGTCCATTTTCAGCTGTGGATCTGAGACACGTGGGCAGATACTGTAAGAGATGGAGTATTCTGCAAGCTGGCTGCTGTACCAGCTGCAACAAAAAGTTACAAGGACAGACATTAGAGGAGTAATAGAGATGTAGCCGTGATAGTCTGGTCTTGCTGAAACACAGCAAGGGATATTTGGTGTATATGGTCATGCCAATTTTCTTCCACAATTTGATCTGAGGAAGTGGATCTGGCCCACGAAAACTCATCACCTATTAAATCATCCTGTTAGTCTTTAAAGTGCTGCATACTCCTGTCTTTTGTTTCAGACATTAGAGGAGATACATTGTGTTAAGCCTAACCCTAATCTGTTAGCCTAACACCAAAGGTCTCTGTAAAGAGCTCCTGTTAAGCAAATATAGTCCTTCTTTTTGGCACCATCAGGCAACTGCTGTTTTGCTCCCTTTCTCTGCAGCATTTTGAAGCTGTTTTTGCTTTGTTTGTTACTAAGGGGATTTAAACACACAATGTGTTTCTGCAAAGCTCCCCTACCCAATGTCTACAAGTCTGACCCACAACTCTGATTTTTTTAATGTCATCTGTATCTTCTGAGAGGTACGGCTTAAAGGGTCTGCACTGTGGAGGTATCAAGTAAATTTAATTAGGTCATGAAAGCCCTCAACTTCTCTTGACTTTGAGGAGTTAGGGGTGCTATGCAGCATCAGTTGCAAAATTCCCTGATCCATATGGAGCTGACAATGTCCTCCACAAAAGTAATTATTATTGTAACTTTGAAAGTTAATGTTTTTAAATATCAGCTAGAGCCCCTCTAGAATCTATCTTTAAATCTTGGTTATAATTATAATACTCTATTGTGTCCACATCACATAACACTTTACATGTTCAAAGTGGCATTACTGAATTAGTGTGCTTCTGGATAGTGGTGTATAGCTTTAAGTCTATTGGTGGCTACTTTCCACTCCTAACATATTTGGCATTAATATATTCTGTTTTTAAATGTTGATGCTAATTCAAAAGGCATTTCCTTGTTGTACATGTAAGTGTCAATATGTGTATGATTAGCATAGGAAATGAGGGTAGTATACATATGTTTTCTAAAAGGCAGATAAAAATATGTCCAAAATCCTCTCATATTGCATATGAATAACACATGTTCTGTGTTTTCCTAGACATAAATCCTAGGCACTTCAGAAAAATAATGTAATAAACCTTCTGTGTTCTAAAAATTCTGTGTGCTTTGATTTAATGAATGAACAGAATACACGGCATACAGTGGTTATAACCTGAGTACTGAGAGAGCAAACAAAAGTGTGAAATGATGCCTATGTAAGTGTCAATTAGCAGCAAACAGGTACTCCTTGGAGCAAACTATTCAAACTATATTTTGTACTGCTAGTGTCTTAAACAAAGGGCTAATTTGGGCCCTAGTGTGAACCACTTATGCAATTATGTGACAGCTAGGATGCAAAGAATCCAACTGGCTTTTTTAGGTCTAGGCACAATCTTAAGTGCCTTGCTGGATTAGGGGTAATAGTAAGTCAAGAGTTCATAGAATTGATTGTCATCTCTTTAATGGGTTTTATGTGGACATCTCTGTGGAGTCTAGGGGTATGTCTACACTAGCTTGTTAGTTCGAGCTACGTAGGGTAATTAGGGCAACTGGAGTTGCAAATGAAGCTGGGGATTTAAATATCCTGGGCTTCATTTGCATATTCCCGGACGCCGCCATTTTTAAATCCCCCTTAGTCCGAATTCTGTGCCCGTGGCTACACATGGCACGGAGTAGGTAATTCGAATTAGAGATCGTAATTCAAACTACCATTACTCCTCGTGGAATTTCACACTTTTGTCTCCTCGTGGAATGAGGAGTAACGGTAGTTCAAATTAGGATCTCTAATTCGAACTACCTACTCCATGCCACATGTAGCCACGGGCACGGAGTTCAGACTAAGGGGGATTTAAAAATGGCAGCGCCCGGGAACATGCAAATGAAGCCCGGGATATTTAAATCCCGGGCTTCATTTGCAACTCCGGTTGCCCTAATTACCCTACCTAGCTCGAACTAACGAACTAGTCTAGACATACCCTAGAAGAGTAAGAAAATGGAAGATGTCTATAAGTTCAAACAACGAGGAGTCCTGTGGCACCTTGAAAATTAACAGATTTCTTTGAACATCAGCTTTTCCACTTCATTAGATGCATGGAGTCTAAATTCAAAGAAATATTCAGACTACTTGGGGGTTTCACATTAACTGAACTTTGAAATCTTCTGACATTCTCCCACTAGTGATAAGGAAATGTTGCAAATAACATAAGAACTCATCCAATCATAGTGAAAGTCTTGGAAACCTTGTTATATCAAAGGACAAGTTGTGTCCAGCTCTTGCACTGGTGTGAAGTGGGGGCAACAGAGTTTAAGGAGTCAGTGTCATGCCTCCTCTGTGCTCACCATGTTTGGGCACAGTGTTAATTGCTGTGTGGATATCACTGCAGCCAGTACCAACCTCTGAAAAGGGAGCAGGAAGAAAGCAGAATCTATTCTGTTTCAAGATGGCAGAGTGACTACATTTTTGTAGCCAGCATTGCAAGGTATTTATATGCCAGATACAAATATTTAGTGTATGCCCCTTCATAATTCAGCCACCATTCTAGAGAACTTACTTCAAGGCTGATAATTAATACATTTTTAAAGGAGAGTTAAATGTAAGTCTGAACTCCTTGGGGGAGAATTGTATGTCTCCTGTTCTGTTTTACCTACATGCTGCCATATATTTCATATTATAGCAGTCTCAGATGATTACCTGCACACATTCGTTTTAAGAACACTTTCGCTGCAGATTTTACAAAACACAAAGAAGGTCCAATGAGAGATTTCTATATATATATAGCACACAAGTCAAGGTTTAAGAACCTGGTTTGCCATCCAAAAATCTTATAGGTTGGAGATGTACAGAATTATTTCAGAAGTCTTAAAAGAGCAACACTCCAGTGCAGAAACTACAAAATCTGAGGCATCAGAAAAGAAAATCAACTTTCTACTGGTGGCTGCTGTCTCAGATGCTGAAAATATGCATGCGTTGGCCCACACTGCTTTGGAGCATCATCAGCATGGATGTATGTCCTCTGGAATGGTGGCTGAAGCATGAAGGGGCATATGAATGTTTAGCACTGTGGTTTTCAAACTTTTGTATTGGTGACCCCTTTCACACAGCAAGCTTCTGTGTGTGACCCACCTTTATAGATTAAACATTATTTAGCATTATCATAAATGCAGGAGGCAAAGCATGGTTTGAGTGTAAGGTGGCAGCTCATGACCACTGCATAAGAACTTTGCAGCCCCTGAGGGGGTCATGACTCCTAGTTTGAGAACCCTTGATTTAGCATATTTGGCACATAAATACCTTACAATTCCAGTTACAAACGTGTCACTTTACATATGTTTATTATTTCTACTCTGTGGCCATCTCTATGGTAACTATCTTGTTTTTATTTGCGTTTTGTTTTGTTTTTGCTTACCAATTTAAGTTCATCATTCAGTGCATCAGTAAAACATTTTCCTGTTTACAAGTTTCAGATATAATTAGAGGAACTACAGGTACTTGCAAAGAATGCAAGAATTCTGATTTCAGTTTCCATTCAGAGGTTCATTTCCCAGTCACGCTTATTTGCCATGTTTCTGGAATGTTATACTGACTGTGGGGGCGTGAACTCTTTAATAAGATTTGTAGCTTCCATTGAGAAATATAAACAAATTGTAAATCCTCCAAGTAAGGAGACCAAGGAATGCACTTTTTGTCTGTGTCTCATAAGATTTGCACTTTTATTTTATTTATTATTTTGGCGTTGGAGTCAGTGTAAGGAACCAAGCTGGGCAAAAGTGGGATCAGATCCTAAGTCAGTGGAAACCTTTCTATTGACTTTGGTGGGCTTTTGGATCTTGGTGAATTTGTGAGTGCAGAATATTAGACAATATTTTAACTAGTTTTGAAAGCTTAAAAACATCTTATGGTGTTCTCTTGCCTTGCACCTTCTATAGTTATAGGTGTAAAACATTACCATCTTTTTTGGTGGCAAGTTACAGTCACTTTACATAGATGCAAATGACTGCCTAAGATGCAAGTGGATGGAGAATCAGGCTGTAAAATGAAATGAAATTAGAAAACATGCAAACACCAGGTTGGTTGTGGGAGTAGTACCGGTAGAGATGTTCCTTTAATGAATGAAGATGAAGCATCAGTTGTTAGAATTAATACTGCTAGTCAAATGGATTTCAAGCATGATGTCAACAATCACAGTTTGTACTAATGAGTCTTGCCATGGCTCCAGAGATCAATTCAGGAAGAGCAATGCTTACTTCATTGACCACTTATCCATTTGCCTGGTTGGATTAACTGAGCAGCATGTTGTTTTCATGCTAAATGCTGGGCATCCAGCTGCACAACACATTCTTCTCAAAGTCACGGACACTCCCCCTTGCTGCACAGTGCCACACAATGTGACTGGTTGTCAGTTGCTGAAATGTTGAATCATAAACTCTCTTTACGTGAATTTTTTTTTGAGTAGCTTTGAAGCATTTCATCTGCCATCCTCATGCAAATCAAATGCTCCTTACTGCCAAGCATACCAGCTTTTCCCAAGACTTCCATCGTAGACCAAACCAAAGTCCAACCAAAGCAGCTTATTCTGTGTTTGTGTAAATAAAAGTAGATTCATGATGCAGCCCATACATCACCTTCATGGCCTATTATGAAAATACTTAATTGGTAGATGTTGAAGGAAAAAATTCAGGAAACTTTGATGCGTTGTGATCTTCCAACAGAAAGATCTTCTTGGTAAGGACTGGCATAGAAAATTATCTGCTGATTTTTCTTTCATACACTGTCCATTGCCCTATAATTTTCCAGCTCTCACTCTAAACCTAACTCAGCAACAGTTGCGAACAGATTATTCTGGTATTGGGCATAAATTCATCAGAACTATTAGTTATTGTCTCCCATATAAACAACCAGAATGCTAGTAACTGGACACTTCTATTGCATGCATGAGCTGAAACAGTTACACCAGTATATGCCTCTTCCCATCATCTACTGCCAAAGCTGTTATCTCTTTGCTAGGCGTATCAAGCTGTCAGCCATTTTTGCTGCCCAGAATACAATTGACTGGGGCCCACACAACCAAATGTCCACACATTCTGCAACTCCAGTCTGACTCATTGCTAGTAATCAAGGAGAGAGAAAAGGCACAATTTTATCAACTGGCACCAGACACCTGAGTCTCTGATTTAATAATTTTCCTGTTTATTTTAAAGGCAATCAAGCACCAACATGGCTGGAACATATAGTTAACTGGGCTGCCAATAGGCATCTACAACTGTTACTGGCAATATACAATAAACTGGGACTTTTTAAAAGGGACTATCCTGAATAACCATCTTTGAGCTAGCTTGATTAAAAAAAAAGAACCCTAGCTGTTTGGAGGGACTACCAATAAAGTGCTAAGGTCAATGAAAATGATTGTTGGATTAGCTCATAAGGGACTTCTGAGCAGCAATATGAATTTACCACCTGTTTTGATACCAGTTTATGTAGAGACAAGCCAAAACTAGAATCTTGAATGGAAACATTTTCATATGTAAAGGGATTGGACACTCGTAGTTATACACCTGGAGGTAATCTAATACCTGGGTTACGTTTGGGGTTGCATTTTTAAAGGCACTATTTTCTTAATGAAAACAAAAGCTGAAACTTTGCAAAGGCAGCTGGCAAGTTCCTGGCAGTGTAATATGAACCCAAACTCCAGCCCTCAGTTGGTCTTCAGTGTGGAACCCAGAATTTATCTAAATGCTATTTGGAAATGGCCACTTGGCCATCTCTAGTGGTAATAAGGATACTAGGCAACTGAAAATGAGCACATTTGTGTTCAGTTGCCTACAGTGTTCCATACTTACAATGAAGTAACTTCATGACACATGGTTGGTATTTACTACATTTGTTTATTTCCTTTGAGAGGGTGATCAAGTGATGCACATCTGAGGTGGGAGGTTGAGCTTTGAATCCTGATAGCCCCCAGATTGTTTAATTTAAATATATGAATAAACTTGCCAGAAAATAAATGTTCAATCATCTGTAGGCATGCCAAGGAGGGGGTGGTGTATGTAATGTGGCCTACAAAACAGCAGATGAAGATGGTTTGCTCACCATGGAAACCAGATCTGCCATGAAATAGGGAGAATATTTGGTACCACTTAATCTGGGCACCTGAGGAAATTGGGGGAGAAACATGATCTTTTTTTTTCTTAAATTGCACATGTCAGGGAACTGAAGTTGATGTTGCCAAAAGCTGAGCACTCAGAATAAGTGAGCTTGAAACTAGGTAGCTCTGTATCCCTGGGTCTCTCCTTCAAAGTCTGTGGCCAAAATTTTGCCCTTTGTCACAGCTATATAAACCCAGGATAACTTGACTGGAAACATTCGGGACATACACTTTTGTAAATGGGAACAAAATTAGATACTCTAGGGGCTTGTCTATGCTTTGAACTGGGTATGCAATTACCAACTCAAGAAGACATACCTGTGCTAGCTTTCATCAAGCTAGCAGACACTGCATCACTCTACAGCCCGCAGAAGCAAAGCAGTGAACTGACACACAGGGGCATGATCCTCCCTAATGTGACTTAGCCTAGAGGTGGAGAGCTCAAGTCTAAGATTAGATGGCAGTTCAGTATTAAACGTTCCCAAACTGCTGTTATTCTACTCAGATAGAAACCAAAGGGGCTAATTATGCAATTTATGTGCTCAGATGCTCCTATTGACACTCGAGTCCCATCAATAGCACCAGCACAGTTAGGAAATAGGGTGGATAGTAGCGGTTTCCCACAGTGCCCCACATTCTTAGGGCTAGGGTCTGAAGTGGGCAGGGGGGCTAGGTAGTTTGGGAAATGGTTACTTTGATTTGCGCCTGAGCACCGCAGTGTTGTTGCCAGAGTCTAAGATTCAAGCATGGGTCAATAAATCCTTAACCTAGGATTAAAATTCAATGTCGATGCTCAAGCCAAGGGTTTTTTGACAGGTCTTCTGACTCAAGTCCCACTAATCTTAGGTTGACATTGCTGTGTAAAGTGGGAGCCTGCAGCCATTCTGGGACCCTCAGGCAGGGCCTTGGGTGGAGGAGGAATCAGCTTTTCAGCATCACCCAGATTGCAGCATGCCAGCCCCCCCTCAGTCCTTAGAGCCATGCAGAGTCCACCACTTGGTGGTCTGATGACAATTTAAAGGACCCACGGTGGTTGGGAGCCCCAGTTCCTTTAGAATCACTGGGCCCCAGGGCAGTTGCCCCCTTTCCTCCATCCCAATGATGATCCTCTGTGTAGACAAAGCCTTAAATGCCTTCCAGGACAAAACCCCTCCCTGTAAATCCTGATGTCAGTTACACTAATATTAATATAGAGCATCTCCTGTGAGATTCATGATAATGACCATAAAATCAGACTCTTTCTCACCATGTCTGCCAGTAGGACTTAATCATAGAATCCTAGAACTGGAAGGGACCTCAAGAGGTCATTGTGTCCAGTCCCCTGATCTCATGGCAGGACCCAGTACTATCTAGAACATCCCTGATAAATGTCTATTCAACCTGCTCTTAAATATCTCCAGTGATGGAGATTCCACAATCTCCTTAGGCAATTTAGTCCAATGTTTATCCACCCTGACTGTTAGAAAGTTTTTCCTAATGTCCAACCTCCCTTGCTGCAGTTTAAGCCCATTGCTTCCTATCCTGTCCTCAGAGGCCAAGGAGAACAATTTGTCTCCCTCCTCCTTGTGACACCCTTTTAGATCCCTGAAAACCGCTATCATGTCCCCTCTTAGTCTCCTCCTTTCCAAACTAAACAAGCCCAATTCTTTCAGTCTTCCTTCATAAGTCATGTTCTCTAGATCTTTAATCATTCTTGTTCCTCTTCTTTGGATCTTCTCCAATTTCTCCACAACTTTCTTGAAATGTGGTGCCCAGAACTGGACACAATACTCCAATTGAGGCCTAATCAGCATAGAGTAGAACGGAATAATGACTTCTCATGTCTTGCTCAGAACACTCCTGTTAATGCATCATGTTTGCTTTTTTTGCAACAGGGTCACATTGTTGACTCATATTTAGCTTGTGGTCCACTATGACTCCTGGATCCCTTTCTGCAGTACTCCTTCCTAGACAGTCACTTCCCATATGTGAAACGGATTGTTTCTTCCTAAGTGGAGTACTTTGCATTTGTCCTTATTACACTTCATACTATTTACCTCAGACCATTTCTCCAGTTTGCCGAGATGATTTTGAATTATGACCTCCAAAAGCAGTTGCAACCCCTCCCTGCTTGGTATCATCTGCAAACTTAATAAGCATACTTTCTATGCCAATAGCTAAATCGTTGATGAAGATATTGAAAAGAACCAGTCCCAAAAAAAGACCTCTGTGGAACCCCACTTGTTATGCCCTTCCAGCAGGATTGTGAACCATTAATAACCATTCTATAATGGTTATC